TAATTAAGACGGTTGTCGGACATGTTTGGTGACCAATATTCATTAGAAGGTGCTTTGCAATTTTTATTTCAACCAAATGTTATTTATACGATAAATTTTAATAATATGATGTGGCAGAGTTTATTGATGTGACAAACTTTATTCTTGTTTGTCCAAAATAACTAATTGTAATTTGTCACTATGAATAGAAAATCAGGAGGTAAATTGATTTCATGATCAATTTAATACATAAAAGTACTAGACTTGAAATAAAATATAGAAAAATGTAACATTATATGCAATATGTCTGCAAAATGATTTTCTTGTTTTATTTCTATTTTCGTATTAACAAAATTTTGATTTTTTTTTTTTTTTTCAGGTTCTTTCAAAAAATAAAAAAAAATATTCTTAGAAAAACAATTGTAAATTTATATATTATTTTATTTAATTCAAAATTATAAAAAAATAAAACTAAAATTAATTGTTTTTAAAAATAAAAAAATTTTTTATTTTTATTGACGTTCTAGAGGGAATGAAATGAATAACGCCAATATACATACTAATTTTCGCGTAACAATCATATTTTTTTTTTATCTCGAATTAAAAATAAATTATTTTCAATACCGTTTCAAATAAAGGAATTAAACAATCAATTTTTTTTTTTTTTTTTTTTTTGTGATCTTTTTCTTGTACACAGTTAAAATAAATACATTACGTAAGAAAAAATACCCGCGTAATCAAAGTCAGAAAAACCTCATCTTAACTAATTATTAATAATTATAATCGATATAGATATTTCCTATTTTCATTTTGCACGAATATATATGTCTATTATGTATGGACAAAAGCATTCTGTTTCCATTTCGTAATAAACAATATTCTTTGTTTAATTTTTAACCAAATTTAATATAGCTATAAAAAAAAAGAGCCGTTTTTATTTGGCGTTTCGCGATAATCCTATATTCATTGTTTGATTCAAAAAGTTTTTTTTTTCTTACGAGAAATTACGCCTTCAAAATCATTGTTACATTCATCATTTCCGATTGTCGTTACAAAAAAAATAGCGAGGAAAAAAAAAATAGAATATTTTTTTTTTTTTTTCATTTTGTTTTCATTTTTTTTTTATAATATAAATATTATAATCAGTATTACCT